CAGGCCGAGAGGACAACTCAGACCTTGGAAGATGTGTTACGAGCATGTGTTCTTGATTTTAAAGGAAGTTGGGATGATCATCTACCTTTGATTGAGTTCACATATAATAATAGTTATCAAGTAAGTATTCAGATGGCCCCATTCAAGGCCCTATATGGGAGGCTATGTCGTTTTCCTGTAGGGTGGCTTGAGATAGGTGAAACGAAGCTTATTGGGCCAAACATAGTACAAGATGCCTTAAAAAATGTGAAACTTATTCAGGAACGACTTAAAACAGCTCAAAGCCGACAAAAGTCATACTTAGATATAAAACGCCGCGATCTTGAGTTCAAAGAGGGTGACTATGTATTTTTAAAGGTGTCTCCAATGAAGTGTATCATGAGGTTTGGTAGAAAAGGGAAGCTTAGCCCAAGATATATGGGGCCTTATCCGATTCTTGAGAGGATTGGGCTTGTGGTGTATCGACTAACTTTACCTCCAGAGTTATCTTCTGTGCATCCAGGTTTTCACGTGTCTATGTTGAAACAGTACTTTCATGACCCGAGTCATGTACTTGATAGACATGAGATAGAGGTTGGTGATACTCTGACATATGAGGAGGCCATTGGAGCTATAATAGGCAGGCAGGTTTGTAAACTTCGAACCAAAGACGTTGCTTCGGTGAAAGTAATATGGAGCAACCACTCAACTGAGGAAGCTACGTGGGAGCCCGAGGAAACCATGAAGAAAAAGTTTTGTTCAAGATTTTAGGTACATAATTCATTTTAAGCTTTAAAATATTTAGATTGTCAAGTTATGTGATATTTGTACTTATAATGATGTAAAATGGCTTTGGCGGGTATATGGGTGTGCTTTGATGTTGTATATTATTGGATTGAGTAGATGGAGGTTCAAAGTGTTATTGTTCGATTGGTTGGACATGTTGAAATATTTTGGATAGCTCTAGTTACAAAGAAAATTTTGCCGAAACTTTTGAAAATTGTAAAAGTTAGTCAAATTTTGTGGGGGTCATAAGGGATGGTGTAAGTAGCGCAAGGTGTAAGATATTTTTGTTAGACTCAAGAACAACCGCCACACAATATTTTAGGACTAATATTTCTTGGGGNATATGTTTATTATCGTGATCATAGTATGTTGTGTTTGTTCAGGGGTATATCACCGGATAGTAAATTTTATTCCAATATCCATGGAGAGCATAGGTGGCAAATTTAATGAATATGATTAGACTTACATTATATTAAAAAGAAGAATGAAAGTCGCGTTTCTCTAAGTTCCATTGGCAGCAAATTTAATCATCTGTTGGTTGCCTTTCTAAAGTAGTTTATGGTCACTTTTACTAAGATGTGGATTTAAGTAATATCTATGTGTGCCACTAGCTAAAGGGTCAAATTAAAGAGAATGACATATGTTAATAAACTTCTTGGTCCAAGCCCACGAGTCACGTGACCAGCAACGCCAATAAGTGTAGGCAATTGGAAAAAAAGAAAAAAGAATAAAACTCCTTTCTAAGGATTGGAAACAGAAGCTTAAGGAGAACAACGTACAACCTCTGTCGAGTTACACATGTAACATCTCCCTATTGACACAATGCACTAGGTTTTATTCTTTATTAGTTCTTCCTTCTTTGTTCTTTAATTACCAAGTATATATAGAGATAAATATTCTAGTTGTAGACATGAGTTAAGGTTTAAGTGTGTATTTGGGGAAATGTTTAAATAATGAACTGATAAGATTGAGATGAATTAACTCTTTTACAAGAAATAGATAACATCCACAGTAAATTAAAAAAAAACAGTTAGAAAGGCTAAGTTATTTGGTCATAATCTCTTGTATTAGTGGTCTTAGGATATTTTTGAGGAATTTACTAAAGGACTAAACCTTGTTGAGAAAATATATATATATATAAATATGGTGGGCAGAGAAGTAAGGAATTTTAATTGGTATGATTTTCCTTGTTAGGCAATGTAAGATGTTTTGAACCAGCAAAGGTTCTTTTGTCCCTTACTCGTGAAAGATTTTTTCCTTAGCTCACTAATTATTCTATTTATCAGTATCGTGATTGTGACGGTTTCGAAATTGAATTGCTGGTCATCTTGAACTTACGATTGGTCTGAAAGGCAAATTGAGGTGAGTTGAGGTTTACTTTCCTAATAGGGAATTCCATTAGAACCCTTGTGCTCCATATGTTAGATAAAGCTAAGTCATGTCTTCTCGTGATCCAATACTCAGTTCACTTATTCTTATTCAGTACGGTATTATATGTGACATGAATACATGCTTATGTGTATTACCAATTGTTATGTGCGTTTATTTGTGATTTTCACATTCAGTTAAATATTCAGTTTCAACATTAATTCATGCATCAATGTGATCACATTCAGTAGGGAGAAGTGGCCAACCTCCCCCAGCGTGAGTGCCATGATGTCAGGGTTACCTACCCCATGCTCGCAGGCGCCAACTGTTTGTTGGGAAGATAGGCCGACACTCCCCCGTACGTATTCCCAGATGCTCACATACGCAGGGCCATTATGCGTAACAAGTTTTTGCAAAGTTATGTCTTAAAATATATATAACTTAGTTTCTATTTCAGATATCCGTTAAGGACTCAATTTCTACGTTAAGTTTTAGTTTAAGCTTACAGTTTAGCTTATAGATTCAGTTTCCAATTTATTACTTGGTTGTTAAATTTTATATGATTTTCCTTATATCCGTTTTCTTTCTTATTTTTCCCAGAAGGTCTCACTTCGCCTTTTTATGAGGTAGCCTATGAGACTTAGTGGGTATCCTTTAGTGGTACTTAGCCCGTTTGGGCCTGCTACGTCGTGTGACAGGTATTGAGGACGCAAGTAACGAGGCACGTGACTAAAGGGGATATTCTAGATTCAGTTTACAGACTCAGTTGATTCATCCCAGCGGTAGCATGACTTGTAGGCTATGCATTTTAATTTTTTTTCCAGATTCTAGAGGCTCATGACTAGTTAGTGGGTTAGTATTAAAATATTTTAGGATTTATTCTTTATTTATTATTTTTATCATTCAGCTTTAGAACTGAAACTTGATTAGAATTAATATTTAAGCAAGTTAGATTCTTTTCTATTGAACTTGAAGTTTTATACAAATAGTACAAGGTTCACTCAACGAATGGTAATGGTTGAGTGCCAATTACGTCCCACCGAGTTTGGGGGCGTGACAAGTTGGGATCAGAGCAGCCAGATTTAGGAAGTCTTAGGGAGTCATGAGCCGTGTCTAGCAGAGTCTTAAATATGGGTATGTTGTGCACCATACTTGTATTTGGGAGGCTGCAGAGCATGTTAGGAATTATTTTATTTGATTCTCATATCGTGCGTTAGAGCTAAACGTTTCAGAATTCTAACACTCATTTATCTCTCATTTCAGTGAACAAGATGTTTAGAACAAGATCTACTTCATCCTCTGCTGTTAGCAATGTTGGGATACCAGCTGCTAATCATCAAGAAGCAGCACCAGAGGTGCATGCCGCACCAATAGCACCAGCTACAGTTAGAGGACGTGGCAGAGGTAGAGGTTGAGGTCAAAATACTAGGGGTAGAGGTTGAAATGCCAACGGTAATCAAGCTCGTGGTAGGGCTGAGTACCAATCACGTCCCACCCCAGTTTGGGGGCTTAAATTTCAATTCACACGTTAGGGAATATTTTCATACTATCTATTTTAAGTAAGCCAAACAGTTACTTTATTTACATATCTAGAAAAATTTCTTTCGTTTTATATGAAAAAGTCTAACTTTGTACTAAAAACTCTAAATTTTATTTTATTTAAATTATTATATACTAATTATTTCTAAAAAATGGGGTCCCCAAATTTGGGGGCCTAGGGCAACCCCTTATTAGACAAGGCATTAGAGCCGACCCCGCGGAAGGACAACGACGGTGAATTTTTTGATTGACCAAAGAAAATATTATTACCCTTTTTGATGTTTTGGTAAACCCAAATGTCATTTCGTACGCGGATTAAATTATTCCGGAATTATAATTTTAGAATTATAATCCCCGTACTAATTTATCTCACATCGAAAATGGAATAATATAAACCAAAATTTAATGAGATAAGGTGATATATTTTGTATTAAGACTGAGATTATATTTATACCATATTTGATTGACGATATAAATTTATCCCAAAATAAATTTATACCGTCAATCAAATATAATAGTATAAATTTAATCCCATATCCTATTCCACCTTATCATGGTACCAAACAACCCCAAAGGCATATGACAAATCCCAAAGTATAGTTCATAGATAAAAGAGACGTCAAAGATGCTAAGATACCACTAATTAACCTTTGACGACGGGATAGAGCCAATTCTTTCATTCGGTTGAAAAGTAGTCACGTTAGTAATGTAAGACATCAAAGTTAAATTTTAAATTCAAGATATTACGCAAACTCTTGAAATTTTAGGAGTCTATTAGTATTTTTTGGAAATTACTCTACCTAAACTTAAAAATCCCACAAACTCTTGAGATATTCACAAAGATATCAAAATATGGCCAGATACTTCTTGACAAATAAATAGTTCAAAAAGCTGGAGATCAAATACATCTCAGGAGGTCTCTATCATCGTACATTCGAGAAATACACTGTTTCAGTCCTCGAATCACGAAAATAATCAAAAAAAAAATCAAAGAAGAAGTAGAATTGTACTCATAATTAATTATTAAAATATTATCCCTCCTATTTTGTGATTGCGGTTTGTTTTTCATATCTTGAAACTTTATTGCAAACAAGTAAAATTAAGACAAGACTCTGACGTTAAATAATGACAACTGAATTTTAATATAAATTATATAATTTAAACAAAAGCTTTTGAAATCAATCGTATAGCTGAATATTTACCTCCGCCGCATCCAAATCTTTTTTATGTTAATAGCCTGATTGGCTAAGGGTCTTTTTAGCTAAAAGAAACTTCAGAAGGTTGGCCAAAGGCTATAAATTCTTCTTTACTTCCGTTGAAAAAGACATTAAATTTGCAAATATAACAAAAATCCTCAGTAATAGCCAGTTCAAACATTCACCGAAGCCGAGCCGCGTGAAAACAACAGAAAACAATCACCTCGCCGTTTCTTTGACCATTGACCGAAAATCTTCTATCACACTATAAATACCCTTCCCGTAAATTCTCTCCCCCATAATTCATTTCATTTCTACGCTCAACAAAATAAATACTCATTACTTCAGTTCAAACTCATGGCGGATATCAAGCAATCGAGTAACTTTTCCGGTGACCGGCGGCAACCGAGCCGGTTACAACGGCGAGCGCCGGCGTCGATACAAATAAACCGTTCAACCGATTGGAATGTGGCGATACCGCTTTTATCGCCGTTGATTTCATCGCCGACTTCTCCTGATTCTAACAACTTAACGGCAGCGATTAATTCCCTTTGCAGTAAGAAGGTGGAGGTAAAAGAGAAGCCGGCGGCGGCGGCGGCGGTTTTGGTGTTTAAGAAGTGGCAACATCCTGCGACGCCGTTTTGTTACGAAGCGACTCCGTTAGTGCCGTTTGTATTATGTACGGAAACAATCTAACGGCGTTTATTTTGAGCTATTTATTAATGCTAGAAGATTTGGTCTATGTATTTCTATGTACACTGTTGATAATTTCTAGCTTTATTTTGTCATTTTTTTGGCTATGTAATTAGTATGCTGACTTTGTAAAATTAGGTGATTAACAAGTTGTAAGCACAGAGGTAATTTCATTTACATGCTCATTATTTGCCGGAAAATTAATTCCAGTGTTTGATTATAAGAAAGCATTTTTCTGCATATAATAGTTAAGCCGACGTAAAAGAATATAATAGGTTAAACGTCTAATTCGATTGCGATTAAGGATTACTAATTATTACATCATAGACCTCTCTATAACAACATCCCTATATAAACACTTCACTGTAAAAATCATGCTTTTTCCATAATCAATTTTCATTATGTTATAATATATGTTGTCTATAACATCACTTCGTTATAACATTCAAAAATATTCGGAACAAACGAGATTGTTATAGAAAGGTTTGACTGTACCACTAATTCTTTTCAACATTTAGTGTATAGTAGGCTGAATGAAAGGATGAGCAGCCAAAGTATAAAGAAAATAGTTTGATTAACCAAACCAAATAAACACATAAAGTAAGTTAGTATAGGAAATGTAAGGTAATTAACTTTACCACTTGTAGGATATTCCAGAGTAAATAACTTAGTGGGCGTTTGGACATAAGAATTGTAAAATTTCAAAAAAATTTAAAAAAAATTTCAAGTAAAAATGATATTTGAAAATTAGAGGGATATTCCAGAGTAAATAACTTAGTGGGCGTTTGGACATAAGAATTGTAAAATTTCAAAAAAATTTAAAAAAAATTTCAAGTAAAAATGATATTTGAAAATTAGAGTTGTATTTGGACATGAATATAATTTTGGGTTGTTTTTGAACTTTTGCGAGTGATCTGAGTGAATTTTAAAAAATAACTTTTTGGAGTTTTTTAAATTTTCCAAAAATTTCAAAATGAATCTTTAAATAAAAATTAAAAAATTTATGACGAAACGCTGATTTCGAAAAAAAATGAAAAATTTTTGAAAAAAAGCGAAAGATTTCTTATGTCGAAACAGACTCTTAGTTTTGATTCTAAAAAGTGGAAAAAGAAATAGTAAAGGGACAAATGACGTAAGTAGGAAATCATCTCAAGACTCTTAACACCGGCCAAATATATTAATTATACTATTCCGTACTATTTTCTTATGTGAAATATTTGAATGTTAGGTTTAAATTTGAATAGTCTGCTTTTATTTTTATTTTGTTGGTAAAATCATTCGCTATTTGGTATTCACCTGTCGACTATTACAGGAAAAGCGATTAATAAAGGAAAAATATGTTCTCTCATAATTTTTTTCATTCTCGGGACTGAACTCTAAAGTTTTGATTAATTACGAAAAATTTCATCCGTCTCGCCTCCCAGTCAAAGAAGAAAAATAATCATATGCAAACCACCTTCTATTTATTTATTCACTATTTTGTCCATTTCATTATTTTGTTAGCATAACATCAAAATAGCCTAATTTCTTGTCGATCGAAGGTTAAGAGCGTGGGGCATGGGCAGATGTAGGGCAGGTTATTTTTTCCCCTCTATTTTCAGTTTTTTACGATTATTCTTGACGCATGTTTTAGAGTGATGGAATGAAAATAACTTATATACATTATGTATATACACTTTAACCTTAGAATTTAAATTTAAAAAGATAATATTAGTAACAGTCAAGATAGACTGTAGTTAAAACGCTTCATAAGTAATAAATACGCAAATGCGCTTTATAAGTCGGAATTCCTGAACGCGATATATAAGTCACCCTCACAATCTAGAAATGCGACTTATGACTACGGCTTATGAGTCGCATTCGTCACTTTATTAGTCGCACTCAGATAGACGACTTTTATTTATGCCTGTATTTTACTTTACTAATATTTAGATAGGTAGTTGGGGTGTACCAAAAAAAAAGTAGGTTATGAAGTTCTTCTTCTTTTGCTTATTCTATCTTCTAAAGTTTGAAATTGTGGTTTAAAGAGGAATCAGTCTGCTATATTCAATCTTCTTCCTTACTTTCCTTTCATCTGTCCGATTCTCGCTGAAGTTTGAAATTGTGGTTTAAATAGGATTGGGTAACGACATGGCCATAAGGTGTTTGCTCATTTACCTGAATGAATTATTTCACTGTGTGATTGTTCCTATACTGCAACTGAATATATATGGTTGAAAGCTGCTCCCTACACTGCTAAATAAGGAATAATGGTGGAGTTTAAGAACAAATTAAAATCATCTCTTGACATATTTCACTTGAGTGGATTTTGATTAAGGCTTGGGAAATTGGATGATGGAAGAGAAGTGAGGAGAAAAGAAAGAAAAACTACACTAGAAAAGGGAAAAAATGTTGATTGGTAATGTTATTGTATTAAAGAACAACAAACTACTACGATGTAATTTACATGTTCTACTGCATTAGAACTGTATAAATGCAAATAAAATCATGCTTTGCATATAAACTTACGGTACATCATTATCCCCTAATTTTAAAAAAATACTGATTGATGCACTTAAGCTCCACAGATTCTCGCAATTTTGCAAAGGTTGACGCAATTACTTTGCCTAAGTGATGCAGAAAGCTAAATTCAGAACTTAAAAGAAAATTGCAGCAGATAAAACTATCTCTTCAAGAAACATGTGTTAATAGTATGAAAGACATATGAGGAAAACATGAAAATTTGGATATGAAATCAGAGATTGATGCGAAGTTGAAGAGGTCTGTAGGTAGCTATTGATATTCAAAATTTTACCTGGTAATATCAGTATATACAGGATGATATTCTTTGTCATTTACAAAGATGAGCTTCCGATGTTATTGTCTGACTAAACAATAACATCATAAGTATGTTTTTTTTTTATTTGGAAGGAGTTATATTATGTTGCATCTTTAATTTCTTTTGATTAGTGTGTTTACCTTTAAAATTGGATAACAATTAAACTTATAATATGGTTCTAAGAACACGTGATTTTACCTAATACCAATTGATAAATGTGAGGATGAGTAATAGAAATTAACAATAAAGTAAAGCAAACCAATGCTAGAATGAAACACAACCCTCGAGTTTGGACACCCTCGAACTGGTTGGTGCAAGAACTATGAAAGTATAACAAGCTGAATAACAATGGTGAGAATAATAAAGAGAATTATATTACTTTTTGTGTATGTCAACCGTCTCCTACAAAATGATTAGAGCCCTCCTTTATATAGTAGAGGAGTTCCACTTATGGTACAATTCTAATTACAGAAAGAAATCCCATGATTAGCTAATTAACCGTTTCTGATTTGATCCGTTTCGATATTTACGCCATGATCCTCAACCAGTCACCGAGACTTACGCCATGATCCTCGGTCAGCCACGGATATCTTGCCTTTCTGTTATTATGCTATCTTCGATCTTGCTCGATGTCTGTCTCATTTGGCTTCGATTGCTACTAGCCTCGATCTTGACAGGTACCTCGGTTCTGAGTTCGGTACCTTATCCTCGTGATATGGCCTATTCTGTTACGAGACCGTCCTTCGATGCAAACTCCCGGTCTCGGTCAAACAGTAAAATCAGGTGGGCCTGGTTTTAACCGTATACAGATAATCCTCTCATTTTTTTGGAGTGTAATGACAAGAAACAAATTGAGCCTTCGATTTTCTACCTCGACCTGTCATGACGTCATCCTTGTGACGTAAGCGACGGAAGTGACTGAAACGTCCCATTTGTACAGTTACCAAGGCATTAAATGCACGTCAGTTGATGGTCGTCCACCGTCAATATTGAACCGTCGTTGTGAAATTTATAAATAACCCCTCTCTCCACCATTTCAAACTTTTACTTTCAGATATCTAATCTCCAAAGCTTTTTATACCTTTTAACTTCTTCATCTGTAAATCTACGATTTTCACTGCTACTATCTTCTCAAAACACCAAATATTATCATCTCCATTTATTTTTAACTTCAAATCCATACAAAAATGGCAAAAACATTAAAAACTGTTCCTCAAAAGGAAAACGCTTCTTCATCGCGGCCGTCGACAAAACACCAGTGGAGCCACGACCTGAAGAGTGTGTTCCTGGGGGGGGGGGTTTGTTCTCACTTCTGATTTCAAGACCGATAAAGCCTCGTCGATTCATGGTCGATGTGAGCCAGTGTCGAGGTATATATGCTCGATAACCGAAGGGTACCTTAAGGAGGTAAGGAAAGACTGCAACTGGAAAGGCAAAGAATTGGTGATCCCGACCCCGGAAGAAGACATTACCACCCATTTGGAAGGGTTTTTAAGTGTTTACACTTACCCTTTCACGCTGGGCCCCCTCGATCCCGTCATCATTAATTTTTGTCGTCCGTATCAAATAACCGTAGGCTAAATCCATCCTTCTTTTTGGTGAATTGTCATTCTGCTCCGATTCTTCGTGAGCAAAGTCGAGGGGATGCCTTTCACCCTCGACCACCTCATCAGGTTATACAGCCCCCGCCTCTATCCAGGCAGGTTAATAAAACTCCAACGCCGAGCCACCAAAGTGCTGTTCTCGAGCATAAACGAGGACAAAGACTGAGACTGAATGGGCCGGTTCGTTCGAGTGAGGAATTCTGACCTAATCCCGGCCGAGAAGATGCCACTTCCTGAGAAATGGAATATGAAGCGCAAGTATAATCCCACTGTTAGTTCTTATTTATTATTTTCCCCTTTGCTTCTTCTCATCGATATCCCCTTCCGTGATGTAGCGGTCGCTTGGATTCCCAGTGCAATTCCTAACCTCAAGAGTTGGGTTTGGGAGCTGGCCTCGACCTCTTCGTATGCCGAACGCACATGGCGCGATTTATCAAAGGGCCGATGGGAGGCCAAAACTCATGGCAAGCCCATTTTCTATGTCTTTGATAGTTTTGTTAAGACATTTCTCACTTAATTTCTTTTCATATAGGCCTTGGCAAAGATGTTGTTATGAGGCCCCTATCTGGTGAGGAGGAGACTTCGATCCCGGCACCGAAACCGGCGAAGGACAAAAAGAGGAATAAGACCTCACCCTCCGAGGATCCAGAACCTAAGAAGAAGGCGGCTCGTAAGCTGATGAAGAACATCATCCTCCTGACCGAAGAGTCTGTTCGGCGTCTAAGGGAGGAGGACGAAGAAGAGGAAGAAGACGACTCCGGGCTGGTGGCCCGAGCGGGAATGAGCA